TTACGTAGTCCTTCCCTGGGTCCTATCAAAGTCTTCCTCTTGCCCCGTCGAATCACTCTGCTATCTCCCTGGTACATGTATTTTACTTGACCCCTGCTCCCCCCATCTGTGCTATTTGAGGCGTAATTCGTCCATCCCTTGCACCTGGGCGATTAATTAGAGGATAAAGCCGCAGGGTAAGTGTCATGGTCATACCTATGCTACATGGACCACGTCTTTTGTAAAACCCACTGTCAGTCAGCTAGCGCTACTCGCCGCCTTATTTATTCTGTTTATATCCCTAATACCAAGAATATGACTTGCCATGCCCTAGTTGCTGGTGTGCCTACCCACAAATGTTGTGGTACTGCTGGCTTTGTTTAGGGTCAATGTTGAACCACACCGTTTGTGGGTTGGCACACAAGATACTAGGGCATAGCAAGTCATAGACTTGGTATTATATATAGAAAGAGAATAGAAACAGTGGAAGCTAGATCTAGTCGGCTAACAATAGTCGTGATGGTACATATAATGGACTCTGGACAGGGTGCGTTCCTCTTAGTCTTTTCATTAATATGACCGAGTTGCGAAAACAAGGTCAAACAACTTCTTAAATAAGTAAGTTTGAACTGGGGGTTGATCTATAAAAATTAGTTAGTATAGGTACGCGCAACAACTTAGGTAATCATCATGTAAATTTATTTGGCTATCTACTTTATGTCACATGTGAAGTGCCTAGTATACAGAATGTTGCAAAGAACAATGTTTTTGTTTCAATAAGATATGCAATACTAAGCTAGCGGCAATTTGGCATTGTGGTTAAAGTGTCGAGAAGAAACGCAGCAATACCTATGATCCAATCCCGCCGGATTTGCTGATACGATATATGCAGAATTTAAACTGCACTCAACCTTAAACAAAAATACCTTTAGGGAATCATGGCTAAGTAAAATTTAATGGAAAAATTAGGTATACACATATAATTCTGGGGAAATTTTACTATCAGTCGCTTATTATCCTTAACGAAATTGTGTGTGTCATTCTAGGTCACTTAAGGTAATATATGAATTTATAGCTAAAATGTCCAAGAATGATATATGTAGGCTTTATGTTTCCATTGAATGTTACATACTCTATTTGCAAAGTGATATTATATGGCATGTTGGGGTTTGCTTATATCATATTTAGAAATTTTAGTTGTTCCAAATACATAAGCTTACGCTACCTATAATTTAAGAATTGTTGTCAGTGGTAAAAACTGCTTCTTCGATTACATTTGCAAAAAACTATTTGCATAATCGACAATTCTACCTTCAACAGAAGTAAGGCCTGACTTGCTTTAAAAATCGCGTCCGGTTGGTGACTCATTAGCCTTGTGGTCGGTTAGTGAAATGTTAACGCCATCATTATACTTGCAAATTGGCAATGATTCTGACTAGGATTGTTTATAATGTCTATACTTAGTGAAATCTACAGTCAATTCTAGTCAAGATTAAGGGAAAATGCTTAGTGACATTTTATGTCTCATTGTAGGCATATCTCAAATACCGGTCGTTTAATCGCCTTAAGTAAACTCTTTGCTCTTTCTTTTGTGTTTTTTCCTCTTTCTCTAATCAGGTCAGATATACTATGCTCTTTAATAATAGTAGTCAATGTAGTGATAAAGGATTCTGCTGAGACACTTTTACAACATTAAATACTATGCAATTTTTGAAGTCACAAATTATAATATATGAAAACTGCCAGTCTTGTCAAATTATCGATAACTCCACATCCTCTTTAATAAGAACTTTGATATTCTTATTCTAAATAAAAATTTTGGTAAAGGTATTTGGTTCTATTCTAAGGTAAAATACATAACCTAGCATGTTAATACTTTATTTCACATGCTACCATTATCTTAAATGCATTATAAACATTAATGGTGGCTACGCAAGAGGGATACTTGCGTTAAGAGGCTGGTATCCTATATAAAAATAGGTTTTCACACACTTCTAGAAAACATTCCTTTGTTAGGTTTAAGCATATAAAAAATAATTAGCCAAAGGATAAAATGAGTGTGATGAATCTAAAGTGAGAGATAAGCAATCGATTTAAAAGATAATGAGTTGCATTTTTCGTATATAAGCAGGAATTAAAGACTACTACATCTCATATAATTAGTAGTAATCTAGTGGCTAATCGTTCCTACTGGTTTTGCATATTCTCGCCATCAAATAGGATGGAACACAAATAAGCATTAAGTTTAATATATAAGTTGTTTTCTCAACTCGGTCATAATTGTAGGAAGACTTAAATGAAAGCACATTGTCCGGAGTCCATTTTATGCATAATCATTTCTAAAGTCGGACAAGGGACGTAGTACATTCCCAGACGTTTCGCCAGCATCGTAGTTGGCATCGTTTTGCCATTCGTAGCATCATATTACAACTCGTCAAAGAGACAAGGTTCAACATTGAACCTAGTCAAAGCAAGTAATACCATTAGTGGGTTGGCACACAAGAGACTAGGGCATGCGAAGTCATAGACTTAGTATTAGAGAAAGAAACAGGATAGACGTGGCGACGATGGGAGCTAGTGTGCTGGCAGTAGGTTTTATAAGAGACGTGTTCCATGTGGCAAAGGCGTGACAATGAGACTTACTCCGAGGCTTTAGCCTCGAATTAGTCACCCAGACGCAGGGAAGAGCGAATAACGTCTCGAGTGGCACAGATGGGGTGGCAAGGGTCAAGTGAAATATGTGAACCAGGCAGAGGGCAGACGGATCTTACGAGGCAAGAGAGAGACTGTAGTAAGACACATGGAAGGAGGACCGCGTATGTATATTTATGACAAAGATTCCCTATATGTAAACTGAATCTATTATAATAACATAAATTTTTTCATGTGTACATAACTTTTTAATTTTTATGTTATCCCACCAAAGGCTTAACAAAATAATTTTGTTTCTTCTCATCGCTCCGTCTCGCCTTTTATTAATTCCCCTTACACTCTTCTTGGCCTTCTCCGACATGGACAGTGTCCACCCTCTCCCTCTCTCTTTGAACTTACCTGAGGAAGAACTCAGAATAATTGATTTCTGGAGAAAATCTAAAATATTTGAAACTTCTTTGCAACAGTCCTTAGATAAGCCGAGGTAATACATATCCTTATTTACTTTCTTTAGGTTCACCTTCTATGATGGTCCGCCATTTGCAACCGGCCTACCACATTATGGTCATCTCCTCACCGGAACTATTAAGGATATAATAACTCGTTATGCTCATCAACGTGGATTCAATGTAGAGCGTAGATTTGGTTGGGACTGCCATGGCTTGCCAGTGGTAATTCTAAAATCTATTTTAATTCTTCAGGAATACGAAGTTGATAAGCAACTTGGAATTACAGGACCTAATGATGTTAAAAGAATAGGAATTAAGGCTTACAACGAGTCGTGCAGATCCCTTGTAATGAAATATAGTGATCAGTGGGAAGTCAGTCTCTTTTAGCCTTATTCATATAAGGTCATTGTAGAGCGCTTGGGTCGCTGGATAGACTTTGAGAATGATTATAAAACAATGTATCCATCCTTTATGGAGTCTGTTTGGTGGGTATTTAGGCAGCTCTATGATAAAGGACTAGTTTATCGTGGCATCAAAGTTATGCCATATTCAACGGCTTGCACAACACCGTTGTCGAATTTTGAAGCCGGACAAAACTACAAAGATACTCAGGATCCTTCAAGTATTATTATTTTAAGATAATTATTACTTATGCAGTAATCATTAGTTTCCCCCTAGAAGGCCAACCAGATGTCGAGTTGATTGCCTGGACGACAACCCCTTGGACTCTTCCGAGCAATTTGGCATTATGCGTTAATCCTGATAAAGAATATATTAAATTTGAAGGTATCTTATTCTAATTTGACACTTTTAGATATTAATAAAAAAAGAAAGTTTATAATGATGGAGTCTAGGCTTTCTATGATTTTTAAGGACCCTAATGAATACAACGTCATTGAGAAGTTCAAAGGGGGAAAAATGGAAGGCCTGGTCTACGTACCTTTATTTACTTATTTTGAGCAGGTGATTCATGGATTTGTTAGTATTAATCATTTTTTCTTTATTAGTTCTAACATCAATTTGTAAATTTTTAATGATATACCACTAATAACCTAATATTAACAGGATCACTTATATACTTTTTTAAAATTTTTACTATTTCTTAATATTTTATTCTTGTCGGTTGTGGATTATTGTTGCTACAGCTAAACTCATATAGGACTAACCTGCCATTATTTTGCTAATGTATCTGATAGTTGTTCATTAGATCAAGGATTAGCGATATGTGCGATATTAGCATTTATTAGATTTGGAAGGGCAAGAGTGTTATACTGCCTTATGTGTCTAGGCCTTTAAAATATGGAAATATAGACTTGTTAAATTCGAATATTGGTCGGTCATATTGGTAGGAAGACTTAGAGGAACGCACCTAGTCCGGAGACCCATGTATGCATCATCATTTCCAGAGTAGGACCGTGGACGTAGTACATTCCCAGACGTTTCGCCGGCATCGTGAGTCTCAACATTCGTAGCACCATATTACAACTCGTCAAAGGGACAAGTGAAGACCATCTTTTGACCAAACGTGTGCTAAACAGGTATGGTATCTCCCCTTCTGCTCTGGCCTATTCACATTTCCTATATTCTTCTATCATGCGTTTCCTGTCACAGTTTTTATCGTGCTTATTTTAAATGTAGAGTAGTGTACTCCTTCGAGCGGCATTCATGAAAACCCATCACACTACACTGTCGTTATCACTTTCTTCACCCTTGTGCTCGGAATGTTGACCAGTCTGTCATATTGTTACGTAGTCCTTCCCTGGGTCCTATCAAAGTCTCCCTATTTCCCCGTCGAATCCGTCTGCTATCTCCCTGGTACATGTATTTCACTCGATCCCTGCCTCCCCCATCTGTGCTATTCGAAGCGTAATTCGTCCATCCCCTGCACTTGGGTGATTGATCATAGTAAGTCTCATAGTCATGTCTTTGCTACATGGACCACGTCTCTTGTAAAACCTACTGTCAGCCAACTAGCTTAAATCTCCGCCTCGTCTATCCTGTTTCTATCTCTAAGACCAAGTCTATGACTTCTCATAC